TCAATCTTAATATATGAGTGTACCCCATTTATTGCATAATTAAATTATACAAATTATGATAATTTGTACTGTATACCAGTTTTATTTGTATGCAAAGTTGATATAACCATCCATTTTCAAAAAATAATGAAATTTAATCCTGTAAAAATTTACATGAGTTAGCTGCAAGAAACAAAAAAAGTTGCAAAGGAAAAAGGAATTAGATTTTTTCCATATTTTTGGGAGGGTCACAGGCTGTGAGCAACAAAAGGAAAAAACAAATAATAATAATAAAAAATAAAATAAATAAATAAAAAACAAAAACTTAAAACCACTTTGCCAACTGCTCAACAAAAAAAAATTCAAAAGCAAAAAGAAATATAATTTTTTCCATTTTCCATATTTTTTGGAGGGTCACAGGCTGCAAGCAGCAAAGGAAAAAAAAATTAAAAAATAAAAATAAATTGAAGGCTTGAAGGCCGCAAGAAATTCAAAATCAGTGTTTATGCAGCTTTCTGCATCTGAAATTTCCCCAAGAAACTTTCATTTTGCAGCCTGGGGGTCATTTTTGGGGCAGATATCCGCGGGTATCCGCGCGGATATCCGCCAGGGCCAGCGGGTATCCGCCAGGGGATGCGGATGCGGATGCGGATGTCTGATTTGGCTGAAAACGTGAGGGGATATCCGGATGCGCCGGGCCCATCTCTATCCTGGGGTAGACTAACTCACCCAATAAACGTTTTATGTCAAAAACCTTATTTATATAATCTGCATAATTAACAAACAAAAAAAAGAAACCATATCACCCAACATAATCTCAGAACTATTGGAACTCAGACTGTGAAAGTGTGTAGTTCCGTGCAGAAGGTGACAAAGAGTCTGACTTGGAGGTATCTCCGGGTCATCTCAGGTGCCCTGCTGCGGCGAGTCAGAGGCATGTAACATGGATGTTACAACAAGAACTACAGCCTCTGGTTGAAAATCCAAAGTCATTGTTTTATCACAAACATTAATCCTCTCAACACCAAACACTTGGGTGGAGAGGAAATCAATTGTTCATTATCTGTCAAGACAAATAAAAAAATAAAAGGAAACTGATCAAACTTCTTGGTTGGCTTGTTCAAACAGAATCAACTTGTTCAAATTGGAACCAACTTGTTCAAATTGGAGCAAGCTCATTCTTTATCCTTCCTTGTTGTGCTCGTGTTGGTTAAGTAAATCAGTTGGGAATGGAAAGAATATAGGTTTTTCTAGTCCTCCAACTACCCAATCAATACATAGCTCTCAAAACATAAAAAAAAATCCTTTGAACCGAGCTGTATTGAGGTGCACATCAAATTCAATCAGTCACACAATAATTAAAGAAGTTTACCATAATTTAAAATAAATGCATCAAACCAGGTATAATTGAGTGCAGTGCCATGGGAGATTTCCAGTCCCTACTTAGCCTGATATTGTTGTTGAGGTGTCTGAAATTCTGCTACCATGATGTATCATTATGTGTCAAACAATGAGCACTACCACCCAACTACCCTTGCAGTCACAAGATTCTGTAGCCTAGTTGGAAAAGGCAGCACTCTAGTATGTGTCTCAGCATTGCTGAGGTCGTTGTGGTGGTCCAGGCTGTTGCGCGCCACAAAACTGCCAAAATCCCTACCTTATAGCCTAAACCACTTACATATATGAATATATTATTCCATCATCAGAATCTACATACAATTTTACCCACATTCACTCACTACAACTATACCTCTATCTCTATTAGTTTAGAAGATAATCCAATATAAAGGATAAAGCCATACAGTAACTAGCCATAGATTAGTATTCAATAGTAATTTATCACATATATATAAGTACATACACATAAATTATTACATCAGCAGGCCTCCACCAGTAGTGCAGACCAGTTATGCAGCTCTTGCATGCATATGTGCAACCATTAGGCCTCCACTTAGTAACTTTATTAGATTTACACAGACTTTGCATAAATGCATGTGGACAGAAAACCTCAACCAGGCCGTGCAACCAGTTTATGCAATCCTTAAATACAGTAGTACCATATTTAGTTATTTCCACAGCATAATTAGCTCAATGTAGATCTATGTCTGATAGAGACTAATACATATAAATTTTTCTCCATCACAAAGTCATGCCACAACAATAAATTAAATTGTTGTCAGAATCCTTGTGTAGTAAATAGAGGGACAGGTCTTTCAAACCACCCATAACAGTATTATTAATCAGTTGAAATATCATATTGTTATTTCCCCCTCAAGGATTGCCAACCCATCCCATTGGGATGGGTCTATACTATACTTTACTATAACTGGCCCTTTTCAGTATAGTAAAGTTTCTTCAAATTTCTGTTTACTATACCAATACTATAACCAGTGTGTTTCCCACCAAGCTGGGTATAGTATAGGCCACTTTTGTGGCTCCAAAATTGCAATATATTGTACCCGCATTGGCTTTATCAACCATGAAGTGACTCCAGAGAGCCC